ACAACGAGCCTAAAAAAAATAAAAAAAACGATGACCATGATCCTAAAATACCATTAAAACGAGTACTATGAGTTTAAAATAGCTCAAAAATACCATAAAAATGAGCATTACGAGCCTGAAACACTATGATATGACTACACCGAACTTAAAATACCATAAAACGACTAATACGAGCCTAAAATAACATAAAAAACGACTACCACGAGTCTAAAACAACATAAAACCCAACTACCCCGACCCTAAAAACACCACGCCTGAAGATGTCAAACAACGAAACAAACAGAACAAATAATAGTTACCTACATGAATATAAAATTTGCCACGATGCCGTCAAAACATCCGTTCATGATGACGAAGCAACAGAAGATGAAGAACCGGACATCACTTAGAAGAGGCCGTAGGTTCTTCAGCATCGCGTTGTCTGACTTCATTTCTGGGACCTGGGAGGGAAGGGAGGAAGGGAGGAAGGGAGGGAGGAAGGGAGGGAGGGAGGGAGGGAAGGGAGGGAAAGGAGGGAAGGACAAAAGGAGGCACAAAGGAGGGAGAGGGAAGGAGGGGAAGGAGGAAAGGACAAAGGGAGGGGAGGGGAGGGAGGAGGGAGAGATGGAGGGAAGGGAGGGAGAGAGGGAGGGAAGGAGGGAGAGATGGATGGGGGATGGAAAGGGAGGGAGGGAAGGTGGGAGGGAGGGACAAAGAAGGGAGAGGTAAGGGGAGGGAAGGTGGGAAGGTGGAAGGGACAAAGAGAGAAAGGGAGTGGCAAAGGAAGGAGATGGAAGTTGGGGAATGAGAGAGATGGAAAGAGAGTGGGAAGGAGGGATGGGGAGAGTGGGAGGGAGGGACAAAGGGGAGGGAGGGAGGAACAAGGGGGGGGGGAGGGAGGGAGGATAGGTGGGAGGGTGGGAAGGAGGGATGGGCAAGGGAGGGAGAATGGGTGGGAGGGAGGGAGGGGTAAAAAGAGACGAGAGAGAGAGAGAGAGAGAGAGAGAGAGAGAGAGAGAGAGAGAGAGAGAGAGAGAGAGAGAGAGAGAGAGAGAGGGAATGAAGAGAGGAGGAATTAAGGGAGAGGGAAGGAGGAAGAAGAGAGAGCGAACGTTAATGAACACAGTCTACCATGAATAAATTGTGTGTGGACATATACACACATATGTACACACACACACACACACACACACACACACACACACACACACACACGCAAACACACACACACACAAACACACACACACACACACACATATGTATATATATCTAAAGTTATTTTTTTTTATCAGCGTAGAAGTTTGGCAAGAGCTCTAAGAACCGAATAGTTGCAAATACAGAATAAAAGGAAAAGTTATTTCTTGGTGAAATTCTGAACGAAAATATACGTCGTCATAACTTTTATGATTTCATAAAAACGAAATGTAGTTTTTTTTTTTTACGTTACGAGCAAAAATGAAGATGCATAAATAAATGTTGATCGTGAGAAAAAAAGAGGAGGAATTGTTTTGCAAAATCATTGGAAGAGGGGAACAAATGGTATAAAAAGAACATTGATTTTTATATTCTCTCTCTCTCTCTTTCTCTCACTCTCTCTCTCATCCCTTTCTCTTTCTCTCATCCCTTTCTCTCTCTCTTTCACTCTCTCTCTCTCTCTCTCTCTCTCTTCCATTTTCCCTCCCCCACTTCCCTCTACCTCCCCCTACCTTATCTCTCGCTTTCTATCTCTCTTCTACCCCTTCACCCACCCTCTTCCTCTCCCCTTCCTCACCCCCCCTTCTCCTCCCACTCTCCAACTCCCCACTTACCTTGTTCCTACCACTCCCCAACCTCTCTCCCCCCCACCCTTACCCTTTGCCCAACAACCTAAATCATCCTTCTCCCTACCCCATTCCCTTCCCTTCCCTCCCCCCCCTATCTCCATCCCCATTACCCTCCCTTCTCCCCACCTCCATCCCTATTCCCTTCCCCTCACCCTTCTCCCCACCCCTACCCCCACTCCCACTCCCTCTCCCCTACCCCACTCCCTTCCCCTCAACCCCCTCACCCTACCCATCCCTACACTCCCCACCCCACCCTTCATCCCCTTCCCCTATCCCCACCCCTTCCCTCTACCCCCACCCTTCTTCCCACACTCCCTTCCCCTACCCCTTCCCTCTACCCCCTTCTCCCCCCTCCCTTCCCCTTCCCCTCCCCTCCCCCCTCCGAACCCAACCCAAAGAGGATTTCCCCCACACGTTACCTTCAGCGTGGCAGCCGACAGGAGAATGTCAACGGAGCCCAGCAAGAAGACCAAGAGGAAGGCAGGAGTGTAGTCCTTGGTAATGGACGATCCGGACCACCAGTCGATGAGGTAGCCGCTAATGGGGCCCATTAACCCCCATCCGACGGTTCCCCACGCTCGCTGCACGCCAAACGCCCCTCCTTCACCTATGGGGGGGATGGGGGAGAGAGAGGGAGAAGGTGGGTAAGTGAGGGTGATGGGGAGGTGGGTGGGTGAGGAGTGATGGGGAGGTGGGTG